TTCTAACTTCTCATTCTGTGCATCCATTCTCCTCCTGGTCTCTGATCATCTTCACGATCATTACTGAATTCTTCCTCTGGTAGAGTGCCTATCTCTTTGTCACTTACTTCTTTTGGGATTTTATCTTGTTTCTTCTCCTAGAACATATTCCTCTGCTGCCTCATTTTGTCTAAGTGTCTATTCGTATTTTTATGTTTGTGGTAGGTTAATTACATTTCTTGACCTTGGAGAAGTGGCCCTCTGTAGAAGACACCCTGCATGTCCCGGCGGTGCACTCCCCTCACCCAGTGGCCGGGGCCAGCTGGTCCCAGGGTAGAATCTGTCCCCCATTTGTGACTCATTCCACAGGCTATGGAATCATTGTTCTCTTGTTTCTGGTGGGTGAGTCTGGGTCCTGACCCTCTGGTGGGCAGCGTTCTGTCTAGGGCATGTCTAGAGGCAGCCGTGAGCTCAGGAAATCTTTAGACAGCCTGTCTGCTGATGGGTGGGTCTGTCTTCCCACCCAGTTAGTTGTTGGGCCTGAGGCGTCCCAGCATTGGAGCCTACAGGCTGTTGGGTGGGGCCAGCTCTTGGCCAAGCAAGATGTTAGCCTCCAGGAGAGTTGATGCAGTGGAATACTCCCTGAATGTCCACCCCCAAGCCTTTAGGTCCCCAGTGTGAGCCACAGCCACCCCTCAACCCCCCTCCCCCACCAGGAGACCCTCCAAGACCAGCAGGCAGGTCTACCAAGGCCCCTCTGAAATCACTACTTCTGCCCTTGGTCCCGGTGCACATGAGATCTGTGTGTGCTCTTTAGGAGAGAAATCTCTGTTCCCCTCCGTCCTATGGAGCTCCTTCAGTTAAGCCCTGTTGGCCTCCAAAGCCAAATGCTCTGGGGGCTCCTCATCCCAGTGCCAGACTCCCAGGCTGGGGAGCCTGATGGGCTCAGAACGCTTGCTCCTGTGGGTGAACCCCTGCAGTATAACTATTCTCCAGCTCGCAGGGCCCATCCGAGGGGCATGGGACCTGATTATATCACAAGTGTGCCCCTCCTGCCGTCCTGCTGATTCCCTCCTTGTGTATCTACACTTGCAGAAGATCTTTTTTGTAGGTTCCAGTCTTTTTTATCGATGGCTGTTCAGCAGTCAGGTGCGGTTTTGCTGTGTTCATGAGAGGAGGTAAGCTTAAGGTCCTCCTACTCTGCCGTCTTGACAAGATCTGGCACTTCTCCTGACTTTTCTTAAGTTTCTTTGTTTTTGTTCTTTTTTCAGATGAACACTTAGACTATTGACAGGAGGTGAGGAAGGGATCTGTTCTTATTTCTTAATGAAAATAGTTAAGGCTGCATTCTCTCTGAATATAATTCTGCCCATATATCATATAAACTTTGAGTGATGCTTCCTTGATTTCCTTGTTTATGAAACAGTTTCATATTGTGTTTTTTGCTTACTCTTCTGACTTGGTGGTTTTCCAGAAGGACTTATTTTTCAGTCTCCACACCAGTGGGAGTTTTTTTTTTTTCCCCACCTTTCTTACATTGTGTTCAGACATTATAACCTTTACAATTTTTGCATTTTGAATTTTGGAAATTATTATGGTTTTGAGGAAGAGCTTATGTAATTTTTTTTGTAACTGATCTGAAATTATCTGAAAAGAAGGTATATTCTCTGTAATATATTTTATTTTCAGACTCTTAACCTTTTCTTTCAAATACAAACTTCTTTTCCTCTGATTATGTCAAAGAGTAGATCATACTTCACTGCCACTTCTGTTAGCCTCCACTTAAGAACTTCCTAGGACCATGATTTCATAAATGGAATCTTTCTCTATTTTATCTTTCCTGTAATCTCACTTAAGAAGAAATAAGATAACTTGATCGCTTTTTCAAAATACAACACAAAACACCAAGATTCAGTGAAATAAATGAGTCTCACATAGATTTTTCTTGGACAGAGATTCGTTTATCTAGTGACCAAACCCTAGTGCTCTTCATTACTCAGATCTTTCTCTACTTGGCTAATGGAATTTCTTCGTCTCACCTGGAAACAGTGGTCTAGGGGAAAGAACATAAGTTCCAGGTCTGCACAGGCCTGGGTTTTAATCCAAGCGATACTACAACCTTAACACTTTGGTTTACCAAGTTTTTTAAACCTCTCTCTAACCCTCAGTTTCCTCTCCTGTAAAAATAAAGTAAAAGGCCAAGAATTAATATCCACTGTAGGGGCTACTACCCTTCTTGGAAAGCACCATTGTTGGCAGTCCAAGGGAAAATAAGGAAGTGGAAAAAGCAAACAAAAATGGCATTTAATATATATTTTTAATACGATAAAGTTTGGAAGGTATCTGTTTTCAGAACAAATCAGATTTAATACCTGTTCCAGTGAGAATTCCTATTTCCTGCCTCCCTTCATTAGATTTTGAGGAAATGTTGTATAACATGATGATCTACTAAGGGAGCTTCCGCCTCAGGTTTTATATAGAATAGTTCTGTGTTTTTCATTTTTCTGGTGTTGAACTAGCCATTACTGGTTTGAAATTTTCTTTGTTCTTACATTCTTTGTAATTATATTCTCCTTTATTTTGTTTTTTTTATAATCCTAGCAAATTTCTCAACTATAGTTACATTTTAAAAAATTATTACAACGATTAGAGACCTCTTTTAAACCTGTGTTTTTATCCATGTATATCTAGCATGGAACATAAAAAGATCTCTCAATACTTTCGCCAGAGACCTTTCTACATAGTCTGTGTGAGAGGGAGGCAAATTTAGTATCTTGTCCTTTTAAGATAATTGAACTGAACAGCTTATGTTAAATTTTAATTCTAAGCAAACACATAAAAATTAAATTATTTTTAAACTTAAGTTATCAAGAACCATAGTTGATGAGAAATCACTATTCTTGTCTCTCTGGGTTTTTGTGAGAAGCATGTATCATCCACTCCAGTGCTTCTTTCATTTGCAAATGACAAATCCTGGAGTGTTTGGGGTGCAGAGGCCTCAAGCATGGCTGGATCTAGGGACTTGAATACAGTCATCAGAACACTGGACGTCTTTGACTTCTGTCTCTGCTTTTCTCCAACTGAGCTCCCTTTCTCAGGCAGGCTCTCCCCACTTGGTAGCAAAGCTTTAGGCTTATATCATATGTACAGTTAGAGGTCCTAGCAGAAAGAAGTGCTGGTTTACCAGCTCTAAAACGGGTCCTGCTTAGCTTTCATCACATACCCAGTTCCCGTTCCAGAGCTAACCACTGTGAACTGACTGGACATGAACTGAATTAAAATTCATAGAGAAGGGAGAAGAGGTGGTTCCTAAAAGGGAAAATAAATGAAAATAAAAGGAGTTCTAGTGCTAAAAAAGACCCTCAAAGGGCCAAAATAAAAAATATTTTTACCTCACGTGCCCAGTGCATTGTCGGGCCTGTAGCGACATTCAGTACAGCTGCTGTCATTGTAACTACTACTACTCTAGACCTGCTGTAGCCTTTCAGACCTCTCCTGGCCTCCGGGAAAGGTTTTCCTCTCTGTTTCCCTGAATCAAGATGAATGACTACATTACCTGGGTTCTTCTGAGATTGAGGAGTGTAGATCTGTACCAGCCTTCACTCTTCTCAGATAGGGTTTCTTAACTCTCACTGTCTGAGGCTTCTAACATTTAAGCCATCCGTTTACTTTTTCTTCCCTTTTCTCTCCTATCATCACTCTTCCTTTCATGCTGACCAGGTAATCTTTTGGTTTCTAGTGATAGAAACTTGAGTTACCTTAGATTTTGTTTTTTGTTTTTGTTAAAGGGTTATTAGTTCAGAGATTCACAGGAAGGTTCTACCTACAAGCTACAAGAGGGGCAGGGAACTTAGGCTGAGCCTCAGGGGTGACTGGAACTGGGTCTGAAACAGTGCCAGGATACTCCATCTCCCATCCTCCTTTTCTTTGCCAGCTGTATTCTCTTATCTCTGCAGAACTCCTTTCTCTAAATAGGAGGATATGTGGTTCCCAACAGGTTTTACATTCTTAGCCACTAGAGAGTTAAACATAATGATCTTTCTGGTCTATGTTCAAAAAGCCCGTGGTTGGGACTGATGAGTGTGATATGACTTAACCTGCTCCTTCACAGGCCAGTTGACTACGTAGAGGGTTGGGTACTGTGATAAGCTCGTATTCATCAGTTACTGGTCTCTGGGCTAATCAACTGATCATTTGTCCTAACCATGTGGATAGTTGAAGGGTTAATTCCTAGAAAAGGGGTGCTAGGCAAACAGTTGCATGGAGAGGGTAGAGGATATAGCTCAAGTGGGAGAGCACACGGTGCCTCCATTATACACACACACACACACACGCGCGCGCCAGCCAGCCAGCGAGTCTTAATTACCTCCTCCCCACAAATAATAATAATAATAATAATAATAATAATAATAATAATAATAATAAGTTAAAAAAAAAAACAGTTGCATGGAGTCTACTAGTCCAGGACATTGAGATTCCGTGGTCTTCATCTTGTGCTGTGTAAGCTCCCAGAGTCCTTGCCAGTCCATGGCAAAGTCAGTTTCCCTAAGTACCTTTCACTTACCCTCTATGGAACTTATACTGCTAATCATATAGAAGCAGGGCCATTTCCTTTGACGACATACCCAACAGTAACAAACCCAACAGTAACAAAAGAATAGATGGGGCTTTTCCTCATATGTCCACCTAAACAAGTTCTCAGTATCTTAAATAACAGAAAATCAGTATTTGAGGGGAGGGAGGGTATAGCTCAGTGGTAGAGCACATGCTTAGTATGCACGAGGTCTTGGGTTCCATCCCCAGTACCTCCATTAATAAATAAATAAACAAACCTAATTACCTCCTCCCCCTCCCCCAAAAATTTAGTATTTGAAAATAGTTTCCTACTCCAAAGTGACCAGCTCCTAACTTCTATTAGTATCATTAGAAAGATAAGCATGAAGCTTTGGTGTACTCACACATTATATGAAAGTTTGTCTTACTCTGTCAAATAACGGTTTTATTTTCCCTTTCTGTTCCAGTGAGGAGGTCGATTTGGAACTTCCAAGCACTGAAAATGAGTATGTATCAACTTCAGAAGCTGATGTTGGTGGGGAACCCAAAGTGGTTTTTAAAGAAAAAACAGTCACTTCTCTTGGAGTTGTGGCAGACGGAGTGGCCCCGGTCTTCAAAAAGAGAAGAATTGAAAACGGAAAATCTAGAAATTTAAGGCAACGAGGTGATGATCAATGATTGTAAAAAAGTCTTTTGTATGTGCTTTTTGGAGAGAATGGAGACTATACATCTTAAAAGCTCCTCTGTATTTGTTTTTAAGTACTTAAATGCTAAGAATTCTAAATATATTTTATGTGAATTTAAAATAAATCTTTTTTCATGTAAAATTGATTTTTGTTCCTAAAATGGAAGCCTACCACATTGCATTGTAATACAGTGTATTATTATGTTCAGTGTCTAAACATTGCTAATTATGTCATAATATAAGATGCTATGTATCTGTTATTTAAAACCTGGAAAAGTAAGGTCTTTATTCTATCCTTACTCATATGAACGTACTTGTACTGCACTGAAAATGAATTACTTTTGTACACTGATGTTAATAGTTATCCAAGAAAGAAGAATTAGCCCACATAGGGGCAGACTTACAGCCCATGATGATTCATTTCTGAGGATCCTGTCAGAAGGCTAATGTAGAAGATGATGCACATTGGCTTAACTTCACGCAGTGTGAGGTCCAGGGCCAAGAGCCGGGCCTGCAGCTCAGGTAGTGCTTAATACGGAGCGAAAATTGGACCAAAGGTAGAGAGCTGTACTTACCTAATTCATTGCAAAGCAACAGCCATTACTTAAGCAATTTTACTTTGAGTCAGGCATCATGCTAGGAACGAGGGATGTAAAGATGAACAAGACATATCCCCGTTCTTCATGACTTCTCATTCTGATGGAGTCCTTTTTCCCCTAGTCATGCACTGTGTATAGTGGCCTTATATGTGCTGGAGAATATTTTTTAGGGTTTATTTAAAACTGTGTAGGTGAAGGCGTGAACAAAAACAGTAAGGTCTCTGGCTTCTAACAGGTTTTAGTGTTCCCCTAGACAACTGGAAATGTCTCATTTCCTGGTTAAATTAAATAAAGTGGAATTTTCCTATTTAATTCATCTCAAGTAGGTACCTTCCCATTATTATTCCAAATTCTTAAAATTCTATTTTTTATAAATTGTACAGTAGTTAACATTTGGTAGTAAATACTTGTCTTTTTAAGGTTACTAGTGTACATGTAAGAAAATGATAGCTTATTAAAAACTTTATGAAAGAGTAAATTAAATACTGGGTTTTTTTTTTCCCTTCTAATACTGATCAGAGTCAGCTTAGCATTGGTGAGACAGTATTTGGAGACTGTATTTGTTCAGTTTAGTTATTTGGGTGTTTTGTGAATGTGTAGCGTTGTGGAGAAGCATTTTACATTCTCGAAGCCCATTTGTCATCTCGCTAAGCAGTGCATTTTGGTGCTTGACTCTCCTCAGTTGGAAAAGATAATAAGACTGTAAATGGAATGCTGCTATATTTCACCCACGTGTTTATCTTATACAAAATACGCAATTGAAGACATTTTTAAAACCACACCTCATTATATAAAATGTTTCTCTTTGATATATTCTCTAAACTGTCTCCATTACCTCTGTAAGAAGACACTATTCTCAGAAGTTTAAGATAAATCTTAAACTGAAACTGGTTTTAAAGATCGCTCAGAAGACTCTTCACAAATACAAAAATTTTACTAAATCAAATTGTGAAAAATAATACTTTTCTGTTTGCTTTGAAACAGTAAGTAGAGAATATACCAGCTTTAACTTACCTGGATTTTTGCAGAAATTAAATATTTGATATCATTTCTATTACCTAGTATATTATTTTGTATATTTTTATATATGTATAGGTGGGAGATTATAAAATTAATATAAAAATCCAAATAATAGAGAAATAAGTATTTTCTAAAAGTCCCAATAGTCTCTGACCCCCCCCCATGACCACTGTAGGCTTTTTTCCCTTATGCATGTTAACACTGGGTGTATGTGGATAACCCTTATGACACCTAGATTCATCAAGTCCACTCTCTGGATGAAATCATATTCAAAAAAGCAAACAGTCAAAAGTAGTTTTGTTTTTTAATGTGGTTTTTATAAATTATGAAAACTGGGGCAAACAGATTTTTAAGTATTGAAAAATATCAATAATAATCAAAATAGTATGGTACTTGCTCACACATAGGCACGTCATATATAAAGTAGAGTTTGTTTCTGGTTGTCTGTTGTTGTACCAGTACCACACTGTTTCAATATTGTGTTTCATAGTGTGCTTTAACATCTGGTAAAGCGGATATCCCCATACTACCTTTCTGTTTCAGAATACTCATATCCATTCATTATTTCAAGTAACATTTTGTCAAGTTGCTACCTCTGCCTTCACCCAAAAAAAAACTCTGTTAATCTGTACCACACCTCCAGAGTTGGTAATAATTGCCATAATTGTCTTTGACATTGATTCTTCTCATCTATCAACATTGTCATTTCATGTAGTCAGTTCTTTTATGTCTCTCTAAAGTTGTATAGTTGTCTCCTAATGGGCTCTATACATTTCTTGGAATGTAAGTTTCCTGAGGGCAAGGGCTTTGTTTTGTTCACACGTCAAAATACATGGCATACTTCCCAAAGCAATTGACAGATTTAGTGCAATCCCTATCAGATTACCCAGAACATTGTTCACAGAGCTAGGACAAATAATCCTAAAATGTATATGGAATCACAAAAGACCCAGAATTGCGAAAGCAATACTGAAGGAAAAGAATGAAGTTGGAGGAAAAACCCTCCCAGATTTCAGACAGTACTACAGAGCTACAGTAATGAAAACTGCATGGTATTGGTACAAAAACAGACATACGGATCAATGAAACAGAATAGAGAGCCCAGAAATAAACCCAGACTTTTGGTCAATTAATCTTTGACAAAGGAGGCAAGAATATACAATGGAGTTAAGACAATCTCTAAAGCAAATGGTGTTGGGAAAACTGGACAGCTGCATGTAAATTAATGAAATTAGAACCCACCCTCACACACAAAAATTAACTCAAAATGGCTTAAAGACTTACAAGACAAGGCAGTATAAACCTTTTAGAAGGAAACAGGCAAAACATTCTCTGACATAAATCTTAGCAGTGTTCTCCTCTGGCAGTGTACACAAGCAATAGAAATAAAACCAAAAATTAACAACCTAATTAAACAAGGTTTTGCACAGCAAAGGAAACCATAAACAAAACAAAAAGACAACCTATGAAATGGGAGAAAATGTTTGCAAATGATGAGACTGACAGGGGCTTAATTTCCAGAATATATAAACAGATCATATAACTTAAAAAAAAAAAAACCCAATCCAAAAATGGGCAGAAGACCTAAACAAGAAATTCTCCAATGAAGACATAAAAATGGCTGATAGACACACAAAAAAAATGCAAATCAAAACTACAAAGAGGTATCACCTCACACTGGTCAGAATGGCCATCATTAAAAAGTCCACAAACGATAAATGCTGGAGAAGCTGTGGAGAAAAGGGAACCCTCCTACACTATTGGTGGGAATGTAAATTGGTGCAGCCATCATGGAAAACAGTATGGAGATTCCCTCAAAAAATTAAAATTAACTTACCTTATGATCCAACAATCCCATTCCTGGGCATATACCCAAAGGGGAATTTAATTCAAAAAGATACATGCACCCAAATGTTCATAGCAGCACTATATACAATAGCGAAGACAACCATTTAGGAAACAACCTAAATGTCATTGTCAGATGACTGGATAAAGAAGTTATGGTGTATTTATACAATGGAATACTACTCAGCCCTAAAAAAGAATAAAATAATGCCATTTGCAGCAACATGGATGGACCTGGAGATTGTCATTCTAAGTGAATAAGCCAGAAAGAGAAAAATACCATATGATACCACTTATATGTGGAATCTAAAGGAAAAAAAAGACACAAACTAACTTATTTACAAAACAGAAACAGACTCACAGACACAGAAACCAAACTTATGATACCAGGAGGGGAAGGAGGTGGGAAGGGATAAATTAGGAGTTTGAGATTTGCAGATACTAACTACTATATATAAAATAAACAAGTTTATACTGTATAGCACAGACCAGTATATTCAATATCTTGTAGTAACCTACTATGAAAAAGAATATGAAAACAAAAATATATATGTATATGTATGACTGAACTATTATGCTGCACACCAGAAACTGACACAACATGGGGAGGGTATAGCTCACTGGTAGAGTGAGTGCCTAACAGGTGCAAGGTCTTGAGTTCGATCCCCAGTACCTCCATTAAATAAATAAATATATACAACCTAATTATCTCTCCCACCAAAAATAGTATACAGTGCTATACGTCAGTTATATCTCAATAAAATGAAAAAATTTTTTAAAGAAATTGACACAACATTGTAAACTATACTTCAATCAAAAAACAAAAAAAGAAATACATGGCATATTGTAAGCACTTAGTATTTTTTAGTGCATCAATGAGAAAAACAGAAGAAAAAGTAAAAAAAGGAAATACAGATAAAACTAATGATACCATTGTTCACCAAATTATCACTCATCAAACAATTTGTTAATGTTGGTGAAGCTGTGGGAAAATAAGTGATCTTATACACTGTTAGTTAAACTGTATGCTTTTTTAAAATTTTTTCTATATTTTATGATGGTTTTAACATCCTAAAAAGTTTGCAGGCCAGCCAGAGAGACTGCCCCTCCCTGGGGTAGCCCTTAGTACAGAGGGCTTGCCCAGAAACACGTCTTTCACGTACAAACCAGCCAAGCCAAAGTCTGTGACCCCAGCCACCTTCTTATCTAACTCTCACAGTCCAATCCATATTTCCTCTGCCCTAAATCATCCCAGGGCCAGATGCCAGGCAACTAGAGACTACTTCTATAATCCAGAACTGACCAGAATTATTCAGACTAGCCGGTCCTAAACTGTTTACTCTGCCCTACCTTGCCTTTCCCAAAGAAACTCCAGTAAAGGCCGTGGCCTAGACTTCCCCTGGCTCCTTGCTCCTGTCTTCTGCCAAAATCTGGTGCTTCCCCTGGAGCCCTGAGTGGCAGGTGGTCACCTCCTCTCTGAGATCTATGACTATAATAAACTCCCTCCTCCCAAGTCTCATTCTC